CTCAGGTCCTTCAATGTGTGCACTAGGCTACTACGGATGTTCTACCAGTGTAGTGGCCAGTGTCATCTTCTCTGCTGTGGTGTGCTGGGGAGGTGGCACCAACAAACTGGGCAAGCTGGTGAAGAAGGCCAAAATGTGATGCGTATTTTACAGAAGCATTAACTAACCGATTTAAACCAATAATATGATGACATTCACCTGTCAATCAATCTTTAACTATTAGCGACGCAAAGATTCATCAGTTAGCTAGTTAGTTAACAGCATATCTTTCTCCTGGAGCCAGAATGTTTTATTATTACTTGTACAAAAGCACAACTTTATCAGTGTTTTTGGTGAAACTGGATCATATTTGATGGAGAAAATATTGTAGACAGACAGAGGCCAGTTTGTTGAAAGTGGTACTGAGGTGATTTACAGAGTTTGCAGATAGACTGGTTGCTACAAGAAGGTACTGAGATGCCGTTAGGTAGTGCAGCTAACGTTAGCCGACTGAGCCCTGGGGTGGCAGGAGCCAAAACCGGGAAAAAAACACCCCGGTACTTCAGCATCAGATTGGGTCTGCTACTGCTGCTTGGCTGGGGGACGTAACACATAACGCTATTGGCTACCGCGACAAGTCCCTCCCTAGCTGCCTGTTTTTACAGTAAATTTGGTGGTCAAAGGTCAAGGTTAGTGACTTCACAAAAGCCATTTTTGGCTATAACTCAAGAAATCATACACTAATGATGACAATAAATTTCACACAAATGTTTAACAAGATAAAATGATGAAGTGATGGCATTTTATATCCAAACAGTCAAAGGTCAGCTTCAAGAAATTATTAATTGGAGTCATGCATGTCATGATAGTGATAACGTCATTTTTTCCAAAGTAACACACCTAATATGTTTTATTATCTTCACTGCATATATGAGTCTGGACAGACATGGATGTAAACTCCAAATTGACTGGTCGGCTAATTCTAGTTATTTAGGTGTAAGGGACAATGCACAAAATAAAAAATATTAAACATAAATGTCAGTTTAACAGTATAGTGATAGGTTGTGATGATGATAAGTCAATTTTTAACTACTTTCAAGGAAGTACAGAACTAAAGAAGTACTGTTTTAAAGTCATAAAGTATATATGACCAGACTAGCAGATTTACAGCAGGACCAAAAGAGCAGTGTTAAAAATGAGGAAGTGACCCAGGTAAAATTACCTTCTGTAATATAGAAAGTGCTCATTGACTGATAAGATTGATGCAGGCATGGCGTTTCCATATATTTTTCTAATACTCGCTGGACTCATGGGTAAGTCAGCTTAATAAGAAATTTCTGCATAAATTACAGTCATATTTATGCTAAAATATGTTTGATACAGTTGAGTGATACAATTTGAGTTTTGCATTAAGATCAATCATCAGTATTAATCATTAATGTCTTTTTTATAAATGTAGTGATGTCATTATACTATACTAACAAATGTTTTATGTAGATGTCATTTTGTAACTGGTAAATGATAGGATAGGGTTATACAATGCATTTGAAGGCACCATTATAAAATATGTGTCTGCTGTTGTTTTGTCAGGAATTCACAGTCAAGTGACTAAAGTGAGTAAAGTGTCAGTCAAGGCTGGAGGCTCCATCTCTATCCCATGTCTCTATGAGCCAAAGTACAGATACCATGTGAAATACTTGTGTGAAGGACAGAATTGGCCCTCCTGCACATATGCAATTAAATCAAACCAACCAAGTTCAGGAAAGTTTTCAATCTCTGATGACAAACAACAAAGAATTTTCACTGTGACTATTAATAATCTGATGAAGACTGACACTTACTGGTGTGCTGTGGAGAAGTTTGGGTTCGATGTCAAACAAAGTTTTCAGCTGTCAGTCGAAACAGGTAAACTATTTGAAATGTTTTAGATTTTCACTTACATGTCACAGATGAGAAAATTGGACTACGCTTCATTTTGTATTATGCTTTTTTCAAGGTACGTCAAGTCTCTACGTAGACCAACAGAAAATTAATGCATTTGAAAGAGGAAGTGTGACTGTCATGTGCCACTATAAACATCAAAAAGTAACAAAGTGGTGCAGGCTTGGCAGCACCTGTGTGACGGGTCAGACTGGCTCAATAGACGGAACACCAGTAACCATTAATGCAAGTGTCACCAAAGTTTTCACTGTGACTATGAGTGGACTGAGGACAGAGAGCAGCGGCTGGTATTGGTGCGCCAACAAAGACTTTCAGATACCAGTGCATATCACAGTTCAGAAATTGACATCTACTACAACTACAATGAGCCCTACTACAAGAAGTAAGATACTAACCATTTTCTATTTTCATAAATTAACCTATAATAAAAATAAGGCCAGTAAGTCAGCAGAAATAAAACATTTAAATAATGCCTGTTAATCATGTTGCATCTGATATATTCATGTCATTTACCTTGAGTTGCAGTCTAAGAATCCACATTATGCAGTATAAAAATACCGTAATATCACCTACAATGTGGCTGAACATGACTTTTCACATTTATTTACTCAGACTTTACGGAGACACTACCAACCACTACCCAGCATGCCTCCCTGCTTACAAGTGCCAAACCTACAAACTCCACCATAAACGGGACAGATGGAGAGTGCCTGCAAGATGAACACAAGATGTGTGTATTTTATTCCACTTTGAATGGTGTAACTGGCATCAAATCTGATTTACAAATGTTTCTGCAGATTATCCCCTCTCCACCCTTTGTGTTTCCTGATACAGCACAACTTAATATGCAGTAACCTCTTTCTCAGTATACTCTTCAAAACACTAAAGCACATATTTGAGCACGGAAAAGTTCATTTTTTAATGAAATGTACGTCTGATCCGCATTTATCTTTCAGTTCTATAAAATTGATGATTGGCATCATCACCATCATCTCACTACTATTGCTCGTTCCTGCTGCCTTTTTTGGATGGAGGATTATAAAACGCAGTAAGTCTGTTGTAAACTCTCTTATAACAAATTCAGGAGTGAAATATCTTTTATTTTAAAATATCTAAATTGTAATTGGTTTAGGTAAGACCAAATCGGACGAGCCTGACAGAATTGCGGTAAGCTATATGATGTTTGGTAACAAACGTATGGTCATTATGGTCATTTCCTCTTTGCTTAGTAAACAACAAAATATTTGACATTATGTCCAAATTTGTCCAAAACAAAATATGAAGTATTTATAACAGCATTTAAGGGTCATGAACTAATTACACTTAGTGTGAGCTGTTGACTATAAATGATTAGATCTACATCATCTCGATTCATAGTAATAATAATAAAGCCAGAACATAACCTGTCCAGGCCCACAATGGATCTATGGATATTTCTACTTGGCTCATTTTAAAACTTAATACACCAAAGTAGGAAATTTAAAACATATAAAAAACAAAATTATATTTTAAACCTTGATAAAATAAGAATAAAAAATCATGTACAATATATGACCCTGGCAAAAAAAATTGCAGTGGTAATTTAACCCCCAAATTCTGATCAAAACAAAAATACAATCAAATTTACAGTGTTAATGTTTCTTCTATTTCTTCTGCAGTTTCTGTGCTGCTCTAAACAGCATATCATACATTATCCATTATGTGTTGTAAAATAGGGTAAAATAAACCTATGAAAAATATCTATGAAGTTTTAAACTCAAACAGGAAATGGCATATACTGTACATGAATGCCCCTGACAAAAGAAAAACTCCAGATCATATAAATATAAAGGTTATGTAGTCAAGTCAAGTGAAATTTAATTTATATAGTCCAAAATCACAAATCATAATTTGCCTCAAGGGGCATTCACTCTGTCCTCAGACCCTCAACTCTCTTCCCAAAAATCTCCCCGAAGAAAAAGAGCCACAGAAGAGGGACCTCTTTCCCAGGATATACAGACACACAATAGATGTCGAGTGTACAGAACAAACCAATATTACATTATGTACAGATTTTGATGACATAATTTCTGATATATGAAGATTATAAAATATATGTGAAGAATATGGATCCAGGAGGACACTGAAACCACTTCAGATGTTGTCGAGTAAGAGAGAGGAGGAGGAGGAGAAAAACTAGAGAGAGGGAAGAAGAGAGGGAGAAATGCGCACAGCTTGGCAGCTTGTGGGAACAAAACTGAAAACAAGAGAAAGAGAAATGAAATGACTATGAGGAAGTTGACATTTTATCCCCGTCAGCAGGACAGATATAAATACAGATATTAGGGTTAAGAAACTGAGACCAACCCACTAAAACCTAATGGTATCAGGTGCATGGCGAGAACTACTTATCTGAGAATGAAGTTATGGAAAACAAATGGGTTTAAGGTTTTTTAAGGCCTCAACGGAGAGTAAAAAGCACGGGACGAGACATAAGGTTTAATGAGTTCGGATAGAGAAGAGGGGCAAAAATAGCCAGTTTTGTAAGTCATCAGATGCACCTTAAAGTCTGGTCTAACATCGATAGGAAGCCAATTTGGTGAGGCTAAAGTCGGTGTTATATGATCAAACATTCAGGTTTTAGTTAAGACTTTTAGTGCCAGCACAAGAAGACCTAATTTTGGCTATGTGGCGTGGGTGGAAAAAGGTGACTTTAATCTGCTCAAGTTTAAGATGGGTTGTGAAGAGGTCAGTTGTATTTAGATTAACCAAACAAGTATGCAGTTAAACAGAATTAAGTAAACAATTATAACAGAATATAGTATATGATGAGATTAAAGTCAAATGTATCCATTATAGATCTCACACACTGGGATTGACCCTGAGGTGTTCTATGCCACCATCGCTCATAATCAACATGTAGCAGCCCAGCAGAAGGTAAAAACATTTACATTTACAGACATTTTTTACCTCTGTGCATCTGAATTGTCTGTTACTAACACAAATTGATTAGTGTTGTTGTTAGTCCATGATTATTCAGCATTCTCTTCTCTGTGTTTGTTTTCTCTCATTAGATTGAACCAGCAGAGGGAAGTGTGATCTACAGCACACTAAAGACTTAAATATAATAAGTGCTAATGAGCAGAAAATATGGGAGGATATGCATCCTCTTGAGTATGGTGACACCGTGGAAGTCCTTCTAATGTGCATTTTATCTTAGATGAATCGAACAATCCTGCGGTCCCCCACAGGCACATGCTTAAAGGTCAAGAGTTCAGGAGGGCAAGACTTACTCACGTGTTAAGTGACACTGTCACTTTGACACAAGTGTCAGATGAAGAGCTAAATACAAACCAAAAGCTGTGAATTGGCTTTGTGACTAATATGGTTTATCTCACGCCATTGTTTCTTGGTGCAGCTTCACCAACCACAGAGCTGGTGTCTTGCTACTGAAGACTATCATGATCCAGGGAGGACCTTAATTCATTTAACGAGATCCTCTACATTTTGCTACAATATGTGATCATCTCATTTTTATTAATAATGTCCGGTACATCTAGTGTTCGATCCAGTAGGACAACCACAGGCATAGCTTGGGGTGTGGTATAATATTGAGCATAATTAAGAAAGATACTGCAAGAAAGAAATGAAATTAATTCTGCTTATTTTGGTAAACAAGTGTCACCCACCATTATTGATTATTAATAATTGATTTAATCATTATTTAAAATATACATCTTCATAGCTATTATTAAAGCATTTTATTGATTTTTGTTCATTTTTACTTGTTATTTTTGTTCATCGATGTAAAGCGCTTTGAAACTCAGGTTCCAATAAAGTTTCACTTGCTTACCATGTACATTTCTCACATGGTCAAAGGAAAATACACCTCTGAAAGTATGTCGTCATAAAGCCAAATGTAACTGCCCTAAAAGGAGGAGGAGGAGATATTTTAACAGTTGCTATTGCATGTTTTTTGAAATCAGGAAGTAGAAAATTGGTCAGTGCAGTAGTGTTGCATGTTGCTTTGTCTGACTGTGCTTTCTCGGCAACATGGCTGTTCATCTCGGAATTCTTCTCATCCTCACCGGACTCAGAGGTCAGTCACAGTGGTCCTTATATGTGTACAGATGTTTAGTCTTATGCTTGAGCTGGTTATGTTAATAATGAAATACACAATTATGTAATTATTAAAACATAAGTTATTATGAACATCTAAAATATGCAAGTCATATGAAGGAATAATATTGTGAATAAATCCATTAAAATGCTGTGTTTGTATTGTTGCAGGAATTCACAGCATAACTACAGTCAGTAAAGTGTCAGTGAAGGCTGGAAATTCAATCACCATCCCATGTCTTTATGAGTCAAAATACATAAACAATGTGAAATACTTGTGTAAAGGATATAGTTGGAACTCCTGCTCATATGCAGTTAAAACAAACCA